ACTATTCTCACTGTTAAATATGAAACAAGATGATGCATCAACACTAGCAATTACCTTTACAAACTTAAACACCTCAATCAGATACCTTTAATTCTTCTTTTTTTTCAACCTCTAATTGTATGACAACCACTCCAATCGAGGTACAATTCTATTAACACTTCTCTGAGTCCTTTCCAACAATTCAATGTCTTTCCTAAAGGTAAGAAGCCCAAGTATGAACACTATTCCAAATGTGGCCTAATCAGTGACCTATTCAAGGAAATTATAACATCTTTAGACTTCTATTCAGTATTTCTGCAGATACAACCTAAAATCCTATTTGCCCTACCCCTAACAACAGCACACTGCTTGGATCGCTTTAGAGTCTGATCAACTATTACACCACGATTCCTTTCTTTCACAAGACTGCTAAGGTTATTACCATCGAATTTTACTTAACTCTTTTAGCATGGGCTCAGTCCTCAGAACTGACCTCATAAGCATTTTATGCTTGTCATAGTTTTCATGCTATAACTTTTAAATTAGTAAGCGCATGTTAATGAAATTTGGCAGATTATCAGTAAACATTACAATGCAATCATACACAAAATATCAAATGTTTTTATTAAGTCTTAAGGTTTGTTAAGCAATGTTTTCTCATGCCTTTTCTTTTTCTTTTTGCATGTTGCCTATCCACCATGCAAAGTAATTTTCATTTTAAGAATAAAAATACTTTTATGCATAAAAAAATTATCAAATTCCACATGTGAAATCTTTATAATGTCCAAATAATTATCAAACACTTCTTAAGAAACAAACTTTATATTTTATCACTTACTTTGACTAATGAATCTCTGTAGAGGTTTGGTAGATTTGACCAATCCTGAAACCACCATAAAAAATTAGGAAATAAATAAAAATTATGCCTATTTCATTCTAGAATGACAACAAATTATAACAGGAAAACATAAATGCTTAGACTAAATAGCTTAAGTCTCATAACATTATATATTTATTATTTTTAATATATTGACCTTTCAGCCATTCCTGGCTAACAATACAGAAGTTACAATGACACAGTACACGTGATCTCACATACCATATCCAATAATATAAAACTGGTCTTTAGTCTTTACAAAATGACCTGTCTTGGCTGTGTTTTAGAAGACTAGTATTTTGTAAAATACAGTTACATTTTAATTATTATACATTATATGTGTATATAGATTATTATTATTTAAAAATAATTTAAAAAACGTATTTTTCTTAAAACATAGAACAATAAATAAATAAGTATAGCAAACAATAATCTCTTCTACTTACAACCTTTGTACTTGGTTGCTGCTTGATGTAGGTTGCTAAGCATTTTAAAATTTGGCACATGGAGTATATGAAACAAATTAATTTTTTTAGGTTTTATATATACAGTTGAATAACCAAAGAATTATAAATTACTATATCAATACCATATAATTCCACTATAATTTATAAAGCTTAGTAACTAAGCTGTATTTGGGTCTAAAAAAATTTGAAATTTTGAGCAAACTAAAGACACAACCTATATCCTTGAAATCTTGGTTCGAAAGAGAGATGGCATCCTAACACATGAAAATGGCTGAGAAAGCCACTAGGAGGACATACTGAGCTTTTGAATGGTTATTCACATGGCATATATTGAAGTAAGTGTATATAAGGGACTGTTTCTAAAAATGGAAAGAGGTGAGTGAGGCCACTGTATTTGAATCATTACATAAGTGATATATCAGCAAATAGATAAGATATGAGGTTCTTATTTTAGATTTTAGCTTGTAAATATCAATAGTTTGAGTTCCTAATTCATACGAAACTACATCACAAACATCTAATATCAACCAGTGCTGCATTCAACATACCACATGACACAAAAAATCGATGTTTAACTGTGTTTTTTAATATCTAATTTTAAATTAAGTAATGTATAATACTAAAATTTGAATTATAACCTACAGTTTGATACCAAAGTTATTGACATAAATTCATGAAATAGTAGCTCAATAAAACTTTTAATACGAGTCAACAAATGCGATGACAAGGCCTTTGACCCATGACCCATCTGGAGAGGGATAATTCAAATGATAAAACTCATCTGCCATTTATTTGCCTAACTCACTAAATGATCTAAATCCTTTTCTAAATCAGCAGCATCCTCCTCACAGTTAGCATTACCCAAGACCTTAATATCATCTGCAAATTTAAGTAGTTTATTGATCAGTCCTTCATCTGTGTCATTGATATAAATCAATTAGAGCAAGGTCCTAATACTGAGCCCTGAGGTACCCCACTTGTGACATTAATCCAGTTTGACTGAACTCCATTTGTAACAACCCTCTGTTTGCTTCCATCCAGCCACTTTTCTGTCCAATTTGCTAAATTATCCCCAACACCTGTAAAGATGATTTTCTTTACAAGCCTTTTATGTGAAACCTTTTCAAATTCTTTCTGAAAATCCAGATACACCAAATCTACACTCTTATCCTCATCTACATTAGCAGTAGCATTTTCAAAGAAAGCCAAAATATTTGTAAGACAAGATTTTCCCTTAGTGAAACCATGTTGACTATCTAATACAAATGCTAAACTTTGTTGAATGACTTTGAACCATCTTTTATCAGATTTTCCAAAACTTTTCCCACAACTGATGTAATACTAATGGGTCTATAAATTATTGGGACAATTTTTATCACCTCCCTTGAAATGAGTTACATTAGCTAACTTCCAATATAGTAGCAAGTGGCTTACTTACCCAATCTGTAACCTCCCTCAAAACCCTTCGGGAAATATTATCTGGCCCAGGAGCCTTATCATTCTTTAAACTTCACAATTTTTTCTTAACCACCTCAGAATTAATGCAGTCTATTTATTTGATCTCATTTCCATTTATCAAGTGTCTAAAATGTGGAATGTTGCTTAAATCCTCTTTTCTCTCTTCTCACACTTTTAGTTTTAACATCAGCTCACCTGTGCTGGATTTCCTGTTCAGTTCAGGTGCTAAGTTCTTTATGGCTAATGTTTCTTTTAACCGTAGCCATCGCTCATTTTCAGCCTTTCCAATAATTTGGCATTGTTAAATTTAACACTTGCATTCACGCATTCTTCATGTTGGAAAATATTTGACAATTTTTCATACCTTGGCATACTATATTCTTTAACTCAATCACTAAGCCTCCTCACAGTCGACCCTACACACACACCATTACAAACAGAGCACTGATATCTGTAGATTAGATATGATCGGTCCCCTCTGTCTTTGAATACAAAATAGTTCCTTATTCTGTATACTGGTTTAAGTACCACACGTAGTTCAACTTGTAGGTAAATATTACAAAGGAAGTTCTTTATATTTTTCTTGATTTTCAAAGCATGTGTTCCAGTAAATGGTAGTGTCATATACATAATCTTTTTTGGAACATTATCTTTCTCTTTCTTAGGAGTGGCCGCTTTATTGATATAATTGTTGATAACTCAGTGTAACATGGATAGGCAGTAACTTCAGTCAATATAGGAAGTTTTTGATATTCCGTTAGTATTCAGATTTATATCACATTGATTATTGATAATTATACACTTAATTTTTTTCTCTATATACATTTGTACAGTTTGAAAAGTCTCGTATAACTGTCAGACAAAACTTAAATTGTTGAAAACATTTAAAGCCCCAAATCAAGGATATTGTTATGAAAGCGGAAGTCACGTGACTCTGGTAACACGTAATGAGTATCTCCAACGTTCCTGAAGGCTCGAGTGTTTGCTAGACACGCGCTTTTATAATATATAAGACTGGTGAGAAGTGACAGGAGGACATTAATTGCAGACAGAAAGATATAGAGCTGGACAATTGAGTCAAGCGCAGTTGTAAGAAAGTGCGTGAATTGTTCGTTGCGAATTATAGTGTGTGTTGAAGTTAAAGTGACTGTGGAAATTAAGTGTATTGCAAAGTTGTATTCAGAGGGAATAAACTAGCTTTATTTAAGAAAGGACTTGTTTTGCTGAAGTTTCATCGAAAATAAATTATACAGAAAGTGAACAAACTAACAGAGACGTAACAATATTATGAAATATGCCAGGCAGCCCATTGTGTAGCTTTGTGCTTAACTTTAAAAAAGCCTCCTAGTGGCACAGTGGTATGTCTGCGGACTTACAACGCTAGAAACCGGGTTTCGATACCTGTGGTGGGCAGAGCACAGATAGCCTATTGTGTAAATTTGTGCTTAATTCCAAAAAACAAACAAAACTAAAAAAAATGAAATATACTATTGTTGGAATTAGTGTTCAAAATTGGTAAAACACATATCTATAACAAAAACTTAATTATTATTTCCAACGTTTCAGGCAGAAGCCATTCGCTAAGCAGTTTAAATTGTGTTACACGGAAAAAAGGCTTAGACAGGATTAGAATATAAAGAGATTCTCATTTACGTATGTACCAAGTAACAATATTGCTGATACACGCATTCATCGATGTTAATTGCGTGTAGTAACAATATTGTTACATCTCTGTTCGTTAGTTAATTTTCCGTAAAATTCTTTCAGAAGAAACTTTAGCGATACAAGTTTTTCCTTAAATAAAACTGGTTTATTCTTTCTGAATACAACTTTGCAATACACTTAATTTTCACAGTCGCACTATAACAAACGCTATAATTCACAATGAACGTCTTACGTGCTCAACAATACGTCGCTCTCTGTCCGCAGTTCAATTATACATTATATTGTTGCCGTCAGGTCCTGACCGTCTTATATATAAAAGAATACCGCTAGAGCATTCAGGAAGGGACGTGAACGTTTTAGAAGTTCATGACGTGTTACTAGCGTCACGTGACTTCTGCTGTCGTAACACTGCTCCTTCCTTAGTATTGTTCATCCCAAACAATAGCCACTTACATTAAACCAATAGATAGTTAATAATAATTTAATTAAATGTACACAATTTACAAACACAAAATTAAAATTCAACAAAGTATCTTAATTTTACGGGACATATCTTTTCAACATACTGGTCTCCATCTCATTGGCTTCTGCTTCCGTGGGGTTCATCTGCTCCATCGGGAATTGTACTATTATCGGTAACAGTCACATCAGTGGTAGTAACTTCATCAAGGGCTTCACTGTTTCCCTTCTCAAAACCGGGTAGAGTTTCTCCCTCGACAGTGGCTTATTCAGGTGACACGTCTTCAGCAGTGTCATTTGTTCCATTGTTCACTTCATTCCAACTGAAATGTCCTGGACCATGATAATGCCCAAGCCTGTTGGCATGCACCACCTTTGGCTTACCTCGCCGACCACATTTTATCTGGAAAGTCACGTCTGAGAGACGATCCACTATGTCATATGGGCCAGTTGTAGCTTCCTGATTTGGTATTGCATATGCCTCAAGCCGCTTAGTGACATAGTCCATCACCACACAAATGTACTTGTTTCCAGCACGAGTTTGGGGCAGAGGACCAGCAATGTCAATGGCTACTCTTTACATTGGTGCGCTAACTTGATATAACTTCATTGGAGCATATACCTTATGTTTGGGTCCCCTTTTAGCACAACATGTACTGCATGTGTTGCACCATTCTTCCATATTCTGCCTCATACCTATCCAGTTAAATCTTTGTCATAGGTGACTCAATGTCTTCTTAATTCCGAGATGTCCTCCTGTTAAAGTATCATCGGACTGACGCAGCACAACTTCCCGTAACTTTCTCGGGATAACCGTTTGCCAGGTCGTCACTTTCCCATCTCCAGAGAAGAATACCATCTTCAAGCTTCAACTGGTCCCATTGTGCCCAATAGTTCTTTGTTACACGGCTTAGACTAGCTACCTTCTCCCAAGCAGATTGCAAAACATTTGCTTTTAGAAAATCAATTACTGGCTTCAAATCTTGGTTTTTATCCTGCTCTGATTCAATATCTATACTTAATTCCATTTCACCA